ATCTCGAAAAAGAGACCGTCATCAATCATGCTTAGGGAATCATATTAATAAAATACCTTTCACGCTATTGTTTAATTTTACATAACTCAAAATATGTGTAGTCAAATAAAATGTTAAGTAACGAACAAAACATTTAGGTGTGATGTGTGTGTGTGTGTGTGTATATATATATATACATATATATACATACATACATATATATACGGCACAGCAGCGAGCTATTAAACAAATAATTCCATGAATAATCATTAGAGTTTGCTATCAAATAGCGGAAATATTAAGAGAAGCCATTATACCTACAATAGTTGTAATACCACCGTCTCCTCTATTAATGTGTGTATAATAAATGTACTATATATATATATATGTGTATATATATATGAACGTTGCTAAAATATATTTAAAACTATTTCTCCAGATTTGTTTACGATTTATTATATATAACTCACACTTGATATAATACGTTTTGCTACACTCATTTCAAAGTACTAAATTTTTGAAAAATTTGAGAAGCTTCTGCGTCTGCGACAGAATTGTGGAATGCATTGCAACGCTCTGTATCAAAAATACAATACCCGATAGAAGATTAACTGCCGTCGATTCGAATCCTGATTCGCCTGTGGAATACGCGCGGCTCGCCCTTTGCCATTTTTCATCTCGTTCAACGTGATATTAACTTGAAAACGGCCACTCTCGGACATTACCGTAAAGCCGATCGTATCTCTGCTTCGACCCGCTCTAAAGCCGAACTTGGGATCGAACAGAGCCTTTGTGGATAAAAACTCACGATGCTTAACGTTAAATTGAATCTAACTGTCAATTTATCGTATATCATGTTAAACATATGTTTACATCTAAATAAACACTAAATACTTAGGTAGTTTTCAAAGCGTACCGCTACATCTCTTCTTTAAACGTGCAGTTATATAATATTTAAAGTGAGCTTTTATTATATTAAATAACTGCACATATATCTTACAAATTCAAATTTATTTCATCTTTCCACTTTGAATTTTTTATACGAAAAAAGATTTTAAATTGCGAACTCAACTTCATTAAATGTGTTTGATTTAATTTATCTGTTAATCTATATATATAAGCCATTTCACTTGTTATATGAAAGGATTATTATAAAATCGTTCATTACAAGAATATCGTCACTATCTATTCGTTACGAATTTTAACGCTACTATATTAATAGAGCAATTCGTTATATGAACGATACTGCTATTAAGGTGACCCTACATGATCAATAATACTGTCAGTATTAACAAATATATATATATATATACTGATAATATTATATAGTGATCGTATGTGGTTAATATTGGTGGATTAACGTAAAATGCTAACAGTGATAGGGATTTTGATTCTCGAGCATCAGTATCGTATTTATTAGGATCCATATCACAGTATGTCACACTGTAATAGATAATGCATGTAAAACTAAAGTAAAATATGTTGTCAATAATATTGATCTTGTAAGATTGTAAAAATATTAATGCATACTGTGTCAGTATTATCTCTGTAAAAAATAAAATGTTAATTTTAACTTAAAGATGTTCAGTGAACTTTCACTGATCATGCAAAAATGTTAAAATTAACAAAAAATGTTAATTTTAATATTATTTATGTCTTTTAATATTATTATGTCTCACATCAGAAAATATATCATATCGCTTTAAGTTAAAATTAACATTTTATATTTTACAGTGTACTGATCATTGTTGACTGTGTAGGGTCACATTTATATATACATTTATTTATTTTGTCAACACTTGCTGCAATAATACGGTCACTACACGAGTGCAGTATCACTATCTATTTTTCTCCGTTAATCGTTACTTCGCTCCGAAAGCCCAAGACAACCGCTATACGCAGTACTTTTCGCGTTCACTAGAACTTACGAGCTGGCGATGCCATCAGAACGGCCAAGCCAGGCAGCCAGCAGCTGCCACGGGATTCAACGTTAAACCCGCGTAACCGTGGAAGCGCGGATCGAACCGGAGATGCGAGAGGCGCGGTCGTGCGTCGCGTTTGCATACGATGCGTCGCGATGCAAATCGGACCGCGTGATGCGAACGAGATACGGCGGGTGGGCGGGCGGTGCATCGCGGTATAGCGGAGTGTGTGTACCGGAATGCAGCCGAGCGTTGTGCGGCGAGGCTAAAGGTAATAATTGATATATAGCGATAGCATTGGCCGCTGACAGCCGCTAACCCGGCCGAATACGGATGACACTCGGTAATCCTCACTCTCATACCGGTTAGTGTCCACCTATATTCCGCGGCGTCCCATTTCCCATTCCCATGGTGTGTAAGCTCGGCTCCTCTCTCACTCTCTCTCTCTCTCTCTCTCTCTCTCTCTCTCTCTCTCTCTCTCTCTCTCTCTCTCTCTCTC